TTCTTTTGGCTATTTTTACACATATAACATGCTGTTATAATTATTATGCTTTATTCAATACGACGTATAACATATTAATGAAATAAAAAATCTATAAATCTATAAAATAATAATGGTCGGTAAAAATATCTTATACCTTGGTCCTACAATTATTGAAAAATAGTAAAATAATTTATTCAATTACGGAAAATCAAAAATAATCAAAACTTGATGTTATAATATAACAATCGTTGCAATAGTTATAGGTCAATTACCAAAATGTGGGTACTAGATTCAAAAACAACACTAGTTTTTCTAAAGGTACCTACGTTTACCCTGCAGCGTCATACAGTGGAACGGCAGGGCAGCGTCAGACGTCGACCTCTGTCCAGACCGGTAGTGACGCTAGACGCTGGAGAAATCCGTTCCTTTACGAAACATTTTTAAAAAAAATTATCCTTTTTAAAAAATAATGGGCACCATTGTGAATTTACAATTTCATCAACATTCAAGAACAAAAATATTATTCACAAATTAAAAAAATATACAATTTACAAAAATATTATTGACACAGAAAATGAACTAACAACTACTACCAATTTAACTTATAATGCCTGTTTTCAATAATATATTTTGTTTTAATATTATGAACAATCTGTGGTATTAATTGGTGTTATGTAAAAACATAACCACATAGCTAACACAATGAAATTGCTATTTAACAATTGAACCGGATTGAACTATTATAATAAAGTACATGAAAGTAATCAACAGTGCCCAGACAATATTAGTTCACACTCGTGAAAGGACTTAACACTAAAGCCATTGTTTTGATTAAATTGGAAGCTTTCTTTTACTCCATGAACAACATATCCGACAGATGAATTACTCAAACGTGTGATACATTTTAATTGCTACTGTTAAGTTAGACTAATAGATAATACTCCTGTATGAATATCAGTATACCTATATTAAATTGTTAAGTATTAATTTAAAATACATAAATATTGTTAAATACATTGTTCAATGACGACAAATTATTCAATCATAACTAGGTAAGTATAAACATATTACCTATCTACTACTTAATATTTCAATAAAGCATTTGTAACTTAACCATACAAATATCTTGTGTCTAAAATAAAAATGAAGATTCCGTCATCAATGCAATTAAAAAATAAAACTAAAAATTTTACATAGTAGGTTAGGTAGCTAGGTATAGATTGGAAAAACATGAGAATTTTTTTAAAAATGTGGTGTCATATATACTGATAAATACCTACTTGAAAATTAAATATAAGTTTAACTAGGATAAATAATATTCCAAATTCTAAGAGTTATATAGATGATTACATAATTTAACTCATAGGCAGGGCTCGGAAGTTGTAGCAAATGCATATTTTTCTTGGTATGCCCTAGAACATCCACAGTAAGATACAAGTATGTTTCACACTTCTCTGATGTCTTACACGAAATTTTATTTTGTTATTTTTTGAATATTTACGGTTATTATAGCTATTTTGCTAATTTAGGGTTTTTAGTGCTACTTTTGGATATATATTCACGTATGCCGCGAACAAAAATGTACACCAATTCTTTACAAAAATCGTGGTTTGTCAGCATTAATAAAAAAAAAAAATATTTTAACGGACGAAAAAACATCTGAAAATCTAGACGGGCTGCCTGAAGACTTAAAAAGTAACGATTTAGTACGTGAAGTACGGTTAAGTACGCACCAATAACGTCCGTAGACGTTCAGGGGCCATTTTCCATTCACAAAAACTATACTATCAGATAACCGCAGATCTTTCAAATTCGAAAATATAAGAAAACATTTAAGAATCCAGTGTAATTTTCAATGTATATTAAATAATATAATCGTAAGTACACTTTTACAGACATATTAAAATAATTTAACATTTTTGTTAACAGTTAATAACCAACCAGTCCAGACTATTCCTGACGTCTATAAGCCCAACAATTTTATAAAATTGTAAAATTACATTACAGTTTTTTTTTTAACTACTTAATAATTTTTTCTAGTTAAATGCATATTTTTTGATTTTTTGTGCTATTTATAACGTTTAATAGTTTTTTTTTTTTTATTAGCTTTTAGTTTTACTATTACAGCTCTACAATAATACAATACAACATAACTGATAACAATAAAATATTTAAAAGAAATACAAAAAATTAAAACAGCAATTAACTTAAAAGTAAATTATATGATAAAACCAGCTTTCAAAATAAAATTTATAATTATATATACAACCATTTCAGAATTGAAGTTGAGGATCGAGGAAAAAATTATAGTTTTAAGTACATATTTAAGAGCTAAAAAAGTAACATTTTAAGTGCTACAACTTCCAGGACCTGGTCATATGTAAATTATATTAATAATAATTTGAGTTATTTTAATTTAATTTATTTAATTTTGTAATTAAAAGCACAAAAATAAATAAAAATTATTTTAGTAACTTAAAATAAACTTAAATACCTATATGAAATAGGCACCTAAAATCAAAGAATTAGATCAAATACTAAATCTAAGAAAATCCATCATCTAAATTTGTCAAACTATAAACTAAACAAAATTATTTGAAATACCTTTTGGATTGAATTTTACAAAGAATAATATACCAAAGTGTTTAATATATAATATCACCATAAAGGTACTTGAGCCTAATATTAAGAGGTGCACCATTTGTTTTCTCTCTCACCTACCGGCGTCTAGGTACATTTACATTAATTTTATAAACTATTTACACATTTATTGATTGGGAACTCAGTACCTACGATGGGGTTAATTCTACTGTAACATTCTGCCTCAATGATCTTAAGGTTAGTTTGTGTTAATACTTGTACTAGAAAGGTAGTAGCTCGTGTAATGGAACATTGTTTTTTGTTTAATGTAATAGCGATTGTATACTGAAAATTCAACAAATTGTTCATGATGAATAAAATTCTTGTAACTGTAAATTATTAAAAAACTCAGACAAACACTTGTTGATGAAATAAAATTTATGAAAAAAATTAATAGTAATGTACATCAAAATGCTATAGGGAAGCATCTATTCTACAGCTTACTTTTGCATTTTTATTTAAGGTTGTGTAGACCAGTGTTTCTTAACCTTTTTACTGTGGCAGCTTGAAAATGAATATTAAATTTTTTAGAGATCCTTAAATATATATTTTATATACATGTTTGTGGTACCTATGGATTAAAAATAAATACTAGTACTTAATAGTTAAAACAATAGGTACTTATGAAAGACAAAACACAAATATGACAGTTTTTTTAACTGTAAAAACATAGGTAAAAACCATTCATCTGTTTCACCACAAATATAATTGTGTAAGTATAATAAATCTTTAAATATTAATAATCATTCTTAAATTAAGATTCATCTCCACACTCGATAGATTTCACATCAAACACAAACTAAGATTTTTTATACACTACCTATTATAGTTTTTTAACCAAACCAAACTTTACATAGGTATTTTCTTACCTATTTATTACTTTTCAAATATTTCTGAACAACCAACAAAATTATTCAGAAGTACCACAAATCACATTTTTTTGAAACCACTGCATTTTTAATTTTAGAATGAAAAATATATTTTTAGTTACCTTCATATTAAAATTTGTGATTTTTTTACATGGTTTTACCTACTAGGTAATTTGTTCAATAAATTGAATTTTAAAATAGTTTAAATTATAATGAAGTATTTATTTTAAATGAATATTGTGTAAGTATAATATATTGTTTTCTCTGGAGTTTTATCCATTATATAAGTTAAAACCGTTAAAGATCTAAACATTTGAATATTTTGGACATTGAAGCAGATTAGATGAACTATACTATACTAATAGGTTTAAGAGCCATAATTTATCACTCATCAGTTATCAGTTAAATTGTAAACATGATAAATAACAAAATAAATTATGCCAGAAACATTTTATTGATTTAAATTATAATTCAATACAATCAATCTATATTTGATACTCAAGAATATAAATAATAAGGTAACTATAAGTAGGTAATAGTCAATAGATAATTTACTTCAACAGTCATAAATCAATAGTAAGTAGTACAAATACATATTACATACAATAAAGGTAAACTATAAAGCTTTTCTAAATTACTAAAATATGAGTTTTTTAAGAATACGAATACCCAACACATTATTGATACTTGTATTAATAATATACCTAAACCTAGAATCAGCTATATATGTCATGCTCAGTAAAACAAACATTACCGTGATTTCAATTAGATTAAAATGTAATAGGTTCCTAAACTTGTACACATTATCTATCATAATAAAATATGAATAAATGCAAATAAATACCATAAAATGTCATTTATGCACCTTAATACATAGAGATGAATGTAGTATTAATACTAATATTATACAAAAATTTTTGTTTGATACATTATTCAGTTGTACATGCAAAATAAATATTGTTTTGTTGCCACTCTGTGCTGCAACTATTATCGAATACCATTTGGCAATTTCTAGCGCTGACATTGTACACAATGAAACAATGAATTGTGTGTACCTAGTACCTATTCCTACTATCGTATTACTATGGCTTGTACACAAATATTGAGTGGTTTTAACACAATAATTATAATAGTTAGTAATAATACCTATTATGTGGATTGTGGATTGCTTGGTTTTCGGAAATCTATTTTCGAGAATCTACGCAAAAACCATAAAAACCCAGTAGGGGTGAGAAAGTACCTACGTTTGAATACATTGTCCCACAGAGTGAACACGTTGAAATATGAAACCGATTTATTTTTAAAACGCCAAGAATGTATACGTTACACACGGTGTTACGTCATTTGTTAAAATTAACCAAACGATTAGCAGACCTTAAGTGTAACTAAATGAAAACGAGTTTTTTTTTCTATATTTATAATACACCGATACCAGATCCATCACACGCCAACCCGTCGAGTTTAAACGTCAAGATCAAGTAATAACATTAATATTTTTCAATCACTTACAGTAATACTTCTTTGAAATATTTGAAGTCGGATTTTCAGCAAAACCGACACTCGCTCGCACACTGCACTCGATACAAGGTTTTTTTTTTTTTTAATCAACTTCTAGACATTTATATGTCAAATAATTTTAAAAATATTACAATTTATAATACTGAGAGTCGAATTCACCAAGCCAATACAAGTCGAGTGAAGAGAGGATAGATCTACGAAAACACTACACAACACCGACCGAAGGTAATGACAAGACTAACGAACCGGCCGCGGTCTGTCGACTGCAGCAGAGTGGAATTTACAGTGCAACAGACGGGCAATAAAAGTGATAGCAACATAAAATTCCCATGTGGGCCAAAGACAGAAGACAAGACCACCACTGAACCGCAGTGTGACCAGACTGCACGATAAAAGAAAAAGCCGATAAACGCGATACCGGCAGGCTACCGCCGCTACTGCTGCTGCTCCCTCCAGTGACGGTGACCACCGGACCGGACGTGGCGATGGCAGACGGCACTACGGCAGCACCACCGCGTCGACAATGACGGGTTGACGTAGATACGCTTATTCTCGAGCACTGGCCGTAGCGAACTCTTTGCCTCTTAGGTTTTCCTGTAATCCGTGGGGCGTGGGCGAGGAAGATGAGATTTCGTATTGTCGTGGTGAACGTTGCACAGTTTCTCGTAGACACTAGCTGTATGTAATTGCGAATTGCAATCAACTATATTATTAAAATGTACCTACCTATTCGGTGTAAAAACTAGGAATCCAGTTATTTTACAATAATATGTTATTATTATATAAACACTTGTATATTTCATGAGTGAGTGTAGGCAATTAACAATCAAGAAGAATGTCAGAATGAGTGCAATTATAAAGAAATTCGAATTAATAATGGTTCTCATATAACATAACTACCTACGAATTAAGATAAGTATATATATATATATACATATTATGTATACATCAAGTACTAGACTACCAGCTATATTTAATGTGTGAATATTTTCACTTAGCCTGCGATCGTAATAAATTGCATTTTTAGCACACTTATGAAACTATTTTACTACGCCAACATTAGTACCATAAGTACCTACCTAAGCTCAATCAATTTTTATATTACTATTTATTAGTTTATTACTAAATATTCAAAAATATAAAAAGGTACAAGATAACGTATTACAATATTTAATTACGATAAAAGAAACAATAAAAAAATACATCAAAGTAAACGTTAACCTACATTGGATGAATGATATTTTTAACTACAATTGTATTGAATGCAGGTAGGTAATTGTAACTATTTGTCTAGAAAAAATACAAAATTTACATAAAAAATATAGGTTTTTTTTGGTAACACAGCAAAGTTGATTTGAATAATAATTATGAAATTATCAAGTCCATATTTTTTAAAACATTATTTATTATTTATTTATTTATTTTTAAGTTATTGTTGAAATTTTTGACTCAAAAACAAACGACTTTTTCTTATAAGTTATAGTTCCAGAAGAATCGAGCTCTACTTTTTATTAGATTTTTATTAGATAAAACTAGTAGTTTACAAAGTTCAAGCTAATCCTGTACAAATCTTGATTAGTCTAATCTTATATAGCAATTACCTAATTTGGCAAGTAGAGTGCAGTGGTAGGTTTCAATCGCCGGGGACACTGGCTAAAGCATCATATTATCATAATTCATAACATGCAATTTAATCCATAATTCTTCGAATATTATAACAGGAGTTACTTCTTATACGTTTTACATCTAACACTCCATTAATACCATCACATTAACTCTATTTTCAAATTCCATATATGATTTACAAAAAATCACTTACAAAAATGTCTGTATTAGTCTCCTCAGTTTCTATAAAATATAAATTATTAAAACTCTTAACTCAGTCAACGGCTTTAACGCCACTGGTTTAGAGACCATTTTTAAAAATAACTACATTTACATATTATATAAATTAAACTGAAAAAACAATGTTGCTCAAAGAGTGTCACTGCTTGGCGACTTATTTTATCTATACCTATTCAGGTTTCCATGCGACTTGTATGTTCTCTAGCTATTCGAGTAATACCTGTTATTTTAAAATATAAATTGCTCTTTATTACACTTTTTATGTATATACTAAATAAATGTTTAAAAAAAATAAGTTATTATATAATATATATGTATAGGAGTTTAGGACATAGGTATATTATATCTATATGCTCTAATTGTGGATACTGTATAATATTTAATAGGTATAATATTATAGTCTATAGTTGTACGATATATAGTGACATGGTGTACTATCAATTAAGTACCTATAACTTATTGATTAATTATAGCCGTAATTAATCAATGTGTATACTGTATAGTGAGGTTCATACGTGATACTTATATATACTATTGTAATAGTTAGATATTAGTTAAGGTACCTTCTACAATACTGCAGTTGTCTGTTATAAATTATAATTTATTATAACTTATAAGTTATAACCATGCTGGGCAGAAGGTTTCCGCTGTATTATTTTAATATATCGGTATTTGTTATAAACTTATAAATAATATTATGTGGAATGTGGATAGCAGTGGAGATCAAACGGTGTGATGAGGGGAGTAGATCTCCCCGACTCCCCGTGACCTTTTATTAAATCTATAATATCTGATAACCATAAATTGTATTTTTAATAATTTAATAGTGCATGTTTAAAAATCAGCCATATCCCCCCCCCCCACATCACAATATCATTTGACAGCCACTAGTGCAATCGTACATCGTACATCGTACATAATATTGAGCACGCGAATTTTGAATGAACTATGGTCTATGAACTGAAAAAGTCTTTAAAAATATAAATAAATCAATACGAAACTAAAACTATATTGTTCGCCTTTCTATAAACAATATAACATAATTCGATATATTAGCTTCTTTTAATACTAAATATAATACATTTTAACATGCCGTTGCTCTGTTTATTGCTTGAATAACAACTAAAAGTGTTTAATATATACTTATATGATAACGGTACCTACCATATATTTTTAATATAATACTCATAGTACTTATAGGTGTAAAATATGTATAATAGTTAAAAATTGATTGGTGATTATCAACAAGCACTCTTGAAGTATCCCGTTTGGTTCATTTTCGACTTGCTTCTCTTATACAAGTAGAACACTTGCAGCCTTATTTCGCCACCCTGAAAACTAAGGGCCTGGGAATTATCCGAATTTGTCCCATTCTTGAGCTGGAATCAAGAATTCAGTATGGTGACTGTAGCGTTTTAGCTACCTTCCGCGGTCAATCAGCTCCGTCGGCGAACCAAATGAAAATTGACACCTTATCTCAGTAGCAATAAGCCGAAAAAATATGAGAATATTTCCTCTGAAAACTTATAATTATGCCATGAGTTAAATTTATTCTATTCTGTGATTATACGTCTGCGACCGCGCTAAAAAAAAATGTAAATATTATAATTTATAATATAGTTAAATAAAATATAGGACGTACATAATAAACAGTAATTCAGTATTGAATTCAGTAGACACAAATATATCCATAAAGATTTTATAAATATATATGTTACTACAAATTATATATATACCTCATTTAGGGGTTCCGCAAAAGCACTTTATCTCCATCATCTATCATTTATACTTTTTCAAAGATAATTTTCATAGGGATTCCGCACAAAAACAATATGTTTGTTTGGTGTTCCGTGATATCAAAAAGGTTAAGAAACACTGCTCTAGACGATGTAGATTAGGCACAAAGTCATCACTCGTGGCCACCACAATAAAAAAACACGCTATTATACATACCTCATACCCATTATATATGACTCAAAGATTGCGTTTTAGATTACAATAATAATTATTCAATGAACATGGTTTTCTTTATTATAATATCGAGGCTTTAGTGTTTTGGTGATTAAAATTTATAAGATTCGGGATTCCTATAAAAATTATAAACCAATCAGTCTCTAGATTTTCGATGTTTAGTGTAAATAAATATTGTGTACATAATCTATGAGCTGCATGAGGTGACAGTCATCGTCTACATTTTAAATTTTAATATGTAAAAAGAAGAAAAAAGCATTAACATTTTCAGTACAAAACAGTTTTTATAAACAGGAATATTAAATTTAAATATAATTTTAAAAAATCAGTCATACTTTTACTGTAGTAGGTAATTACACCCATGATGCGTTTATAAAATATGCCATTTTGTCTCGTTATATTGTTTTAAAGTGAGTAAATATATTATTGTGTCGAGTAAAAGTCTATTCTCGCATTTCCAGGTCAGATACACTTTTACTAGTTATAATAAACTCAAGTATAATACATTCGATAGAAGATATTACAATATTAATATATTTCATAAATCATAACAAGACAAATAGGTCCCCTAGGTTGAGACTTGAGTTTATTACAACGATATTCTGTGAGTGAAAATCATAAACATTTGATATATTTGGCATATTATAATGGTGACATAGAACATTGCAAGTTTTCTAGACACCTTAGCTCACATTAAATGACAATCAAGAAGGTAGGTCGTTGGTAACTAATCTTTGTGTCATATTGTCATAATATATCTACTAAGGTATCTACTCCGTCATAGCGCAGCGTCACCTTTAGAAAAATAATTGGCTTGCGCATTTCTGTGACGCTTACAATAATACTATACATTATTTATGCCTAATATTCAAACCATATTTAATACTTGTTGTTAAATATTAAACCAATGATTCATATTATAGCTATTGAACACAAACATATTAAACGGAAGATAAAATAATTGACTCTCGGCACACAACCTACACGTATAACTCAATAACAGCATTACAATTTATCATATTCTGTATAACTGATAAAATTTATATTTACAGTTATTTTTGTTTTTAGCATTATTATCTTCTAAACTGCCATGGGAAGTTGATCGTGTAATCTATACTGCACTACTGCAGACTGCAGTAACTATATTTTACTATCAGTTCAAACTAAACTGTATGAAGCGTATATAAGATAAGGGCTGAATTAAAAAAATACTATTTATTAATATTTGTGTATGAAGTTTAAAAATAAGATTTTTTGTGATCTAAGTCTTTCAGGTAAACTGTGCTTATTATAATAAACTGAACTTTTGCGAATGACAGTAATAATGGTAATAACAATGTATTCAAATAAATACAACAAATTAACGAACCTAAGCCCAATAGCAGAAATTAGAACAACATTTAGAAATATAAAAACATAAAAATATACAATAAGACATAAGTTTATTATAGGTATATAATTATTAAATTGTTTGGAGTACCTAATATTTATAACA